TCAGAGTTCGCGCGTCTGTACAACCGGTGGCCAGCAAACTGAGACGACTGCCACTTGTCATTCGCGAGCAAGTCTCGGCAGAAGTTCAGAAATTAGAAGCTCAGGGCATCATTGAGCGTGTCGACTCTTCTGAGTGGGTCTCCCCTATTGTCGTAGCCAGAAAAAAGACGGCTCGATTCGCATGTGTGTTGACTTACGGGAGCCAAACAAAGCTGTGGTAGTAGACAGTTTTCCTTTGCCACAAACTGAGGAGCTCCTGAACAGCCTGGCTGGGGCACAGCGTTTCTCGAAGCTAGACTTAGCTTCTGCATATCACCAGTTACCGCTCAGTTTAGAGAGCCGTGACCTTACCACGTTCATCACTCACGATGGACTATTTCGCTTCAAGAGGGTTTGCTTCGGACTGGCGTCGGCGCCATCAGCGTTCCAGAAAATGATGCACATGATCTTGAAAGGGTGCAAATGTGTCCTATTTTACATTGATGACATCATCGTGTATGGGCGATCCCGAGAGGACCATTTGGGAAACTTGCGCGCTGTATTGCAACGTCTTTCTGATGCTGGCCTCCGGCTCAACAACAAGTGTGTCTTTGACGTGGCAGAGTTGACTTTTCTAGGTCACGTTGTGAGCGCCAAAGGATTATTTCCGTTGATGTCATCCATTGAGGCGATAACAAAGGCACCATCACCTACAAATATTAACGAACTCCGCTCGCTACTGGGGCTTGCAGGCTTCTATTCCAAGTTCATTCCTCATTTTTCGGATGTTGTCGAGCCAATGCGCGCCTTGCTACGAGGACAAGCCTCTTTCGTTTGGAGTGCGGCAGCACAGAGCAGTTTGGAGCGCCTGAAATCTCTGCTCACATCTTGCGAAGTGCTTCATCTTTTCGATCCTCACTTGCCTGTGTTCGTTACAACTAATGCTTCAGGATATGGATTAGGTGCAGTACTTCAGCAAGACAACGGGACCTCACTGCAAACTGTCGCATTCGCCTCCCGCACACTTCAACCGCATGAGCGGAAATACTCAGTCGGCGAACGTGAGGCCCTTGCCTGTGTTTGGGCTTGCGAACACTGGCACGTTTATCTATGGGGACGACCTTTCATCTTACGAACGGATCACGCAGCGCTGGTTACGCTTCTTTCGACGAAAGGCACCGGTCACCGACCATTAAGGATTGCGCGCTGGTCCTCACGGTTGCTCTGCTACAACTATACCGTCGAATACAGGAAAGGTAGCGAAAACGTCGTGGCTGACGCTCTCTCCAGGCTACCCGTCCAGAGTTTAATCCGCGATGCACCAGAAGAGGAATTTATCTGTTTGTTGTCTCCCGTAGTTACCATGCCAGAACTTCAAGAAGCAAGTGCCAATGATCAGATTATCTGTGAAGTTAAGCACTTCACGACTACTTCTTGGCCTGACAAGAAATCACTGTCAAAAGAATTGCTACCTTACTTTTACGTGAAGGCTGAACTCTCTGTTGTAAGTGATATCCTATGCCGGGGTGACAGGATTGTCGTGCCTGCAACGTTGACACGCCGCCTTATGGATCTGGCCCACGAGTCACATCCAGGCATTAGTCGTACCAAAGCTCGCCTGAGAGAGTCCTATTGGTGGCCATGCATGGATAGTCACATTGAAGAACTGGTGCGCACATGCGTGATTTGCCAGTCTTGTGACAAGTCCGCACGTACCTTTCCAGCGCCACTGCAACCTGTTCCTCTTCCTGACGCGGCGTGGGAAAAAATTGCCATCGACATTGTGGGACCTTTCACGCAAGCTTCGGCCGACTGCCGTTTTGCGATTACTGTTATTGACTATTATAGCAAGTGGCCTGAAGTGGCGTTCGTGCGAGATGCGACCACGTCTACAGTGAAGAAGTTTTTACTTGAACTTTTTGCGCGAGAAGGCTACCCACGTAGTATTGTATCCGATCATGGACCACAGTTCTCTTCAGCAAGCTTTGACGAGTTTCTCACGGAGCGTGGAATAACGCACTACAACTCTTCCGTGTATTACCCACAAGCTAACGGCTTGGTGGAGAGATTCAATAGGGTGCTGAAGTCGTACATTCAACTAGCCCTGCTTGAACGTCGTGACGTACGAACAGCCATGCTTGATTACCTGCAAGTATATCGCTGTACGCCTCACGCGACTACTGGTGCGACACCCGCTGTTCTTCTTCATCGACGCCAACCTCGCACCAGACTTGACATATTGGGATTGCCCGACAGATGCTTCAGCACGGACCCGTCAAGGGCGATTGAACAGCTACGAGAGCATGTCAAAAAGAAGCAAATGATCTCGAAGAGCTACACCGATGAAAAACGTGGAGCCAAGGAACCCAGTTTCGTCGTTGGTGATTACGTGCGCGTTAAGACAACTGCAGCTCACGGTAAGCTGTCTTCACAATTTTCCGCGCCCAAGAAGATCATTGGAAAACGGGGACCGGCCTCGTACCTTTTGGACGATGGGCGTGTGTGGAACGCATCTAAGTTAATCGCAGTTCACTCCGGAGCGGTCAACAAAATGAAATCGGGCACCCCTGCTGTTATGAACTGGACACCTGCATTTAATCGGTCTTCTCATGCATTACAGCCTGAAACCGCTGCCCTTATGAACTGGTCCCCTGCATCTGATCGGTCATCTAGTGCGCCCCAATGGGACACATCAAGAGCGGATGGTCATGAAAGGGCAGACCCCGTATCATCTCCACCAGACGGCACGCAAGCTTTGACCAGTCCAGGATTTAATGCGCCTGCAAGGAAAAGCAAGCGTAAAAAGAAGACCCCAAAGAAATTGAAGGACTTCGTTAGGAAGTAGACAAAAACAGTTTTGTGTGTTTCTACCATTTATTTTTATTTTATTTTATTTTATTTTTTTTTTTTTTTTTTGCAAGAGGGGATATGTGGTATAAGGCGTCGCTACCGACTACAGCGCTGTGCGGTGGCACGCGCTCGGTGGCCGCCACGGGGGAGAAGGAAGAAGATGAAATAAACAAGATGTCTCCGTTTATGCTGTGCTATTCATTATGCACGATGTAACAGATGGCGTATTAGCTTGTCCGCGTAATATATCAAGGAGGCGTTGAATATATGAACGGGCGAGGCCGGAAGCTTTACTTTTTTTAAGCCGCACAATGGTGTTTGGAAGGTCTTCGTGTGGCATGGCACGTTCCTATTCATAATGCGTAGCTTAGAAGTCAGTGCTGAGCATCAGCTAAAGCTAATTAACCCTGAAGTGACGACCGCGACGTAGCGGAGTGTGATTTTTCTGAAACCCCCTTTCTGACCAGCGACGAGGCAAGGCTTGCACAAGTACGTGATCGCGTCGTTTTGTGTTGATTGCATACGACTTAGTAAACATCCAAACTTACATCGTTGATAACAGGCCGGCAAAACGTTGGATGGATGGATATGGCTGTACCCTTTAGATCGGGCGGTGGCTAGCGCCACCAAGCCGTAATACCTAATGAACCAAAAACTATATTTTTTTTTCCTTAAAAAAAAAGAGTTTGAGGATTCGTACTTTGCAGTGAAGAGTTTAATTTTCACTCGTGCCTTGACTTTAGCCACCAATCAGATAACCTCCTTTTAGTTAAGTCTACCCGCTTAAAGTTTATTTTGCTCTCCCGGTCCCTAAACCCCAGTGCTTTGAAAAACTCTGCGCCATCATCCTGAACGTTGGGCAGAGCGAGGAGCGCCGCGCAGCGGCGATACAAGGCGCGCGCACTGCTTGAAACATGAACGATTGCGAGATGTCAATCGTAGAGGGTTTTCCTTTTCTTGATCACATCGTTCCAGTGCCCACTTGCGTCATGAACGAGCCAGCTTTCGGTTGCGATAGGCGACAGGTGGGCGCACACGATTTCTTCGCGAGTATCCAACTCAACTCGCCGCAGGTCCAAAAGCCTTGAGGGGTTTCCTTTGCGAGTAAGGCGGCCCCCGCTAGGCGCGCAGCAGCAGCCTTCGGCAACACTATACGAAAGTGCGGGGAGCGACAGCGCGATGACACAGTAAGGCCTGCGAAAATGCATAGCCTCCAAGAGCGCCGGGCCGCGGTGCATTTTGGGTGGCTCTATCCGCTCGCCTTTGTAAACTTGCTGCACGGCCGCGGTGCATTTTGGGTGGCTCTATCCGCTCGCCTTTGTAAACTTGCTGCACGCACGGAATCTGCTTTCAACAAGTGGTGAGCGTAGTCACAGCGGCCAAGCGGCGCTATCGCGCTATTACACGCCCGACATGCCTGTGCTCGCCCAACACCATTCGGCTCCGCTACGCTCGCAAAGCGCGTCTCCGTTGCTAGGCGACGGCCACGCATGCGCAAAGGAGACCCATGTGGAACGTACTGCAAAGCATGACCTACTACACTCCTGACCTGCCCAGAGAGCACCTCTTCCAGCGCCCACGTTCTAGTTCATACCTTCTGCCGCTAGGGCCGTCACCTACGAGCGGCGTGGCGCTAGGCAGCACCTGTTCGCTGACGTCACCTTCACTCTTTGTAGTCAAATTTTAACCAACAAAGCACTCGTAGTGCGAATTTATGATCCACAATTTAGAAATATCCAGAAATAATAATACTAAAAGACATTCAGAATTTTTTTGCAATAAAATGCACGCGACAACGCATAGGCTGTCCAAAATCATGTAAATCCACGGGTTTCCACGTTTGTCAACCAGTGTGCTATAAATTCTTAAGCGCACTGAACAGCTTACTTGACCAGCAATGTATGGGAAGAAATAGTCACATATATGCCGACAGTTCACCACAGAAAGCAGGCATTCTTATACCAGCGCCTACAAAACAACCGTAAAGAAGCAGACGAACAGGTTATAGGTAGCGCCACCTACGGCGAGCGATTGAACGAGAGCGGGGACACGCGCTCCCATAGGAACCCCGCTATCTGAACAGGTCAGGAGTGTAGTAGGTCATGCTGCAAAGAACTTCTCCCGCGGCCACTATTCTAGACAGTCAAGTAGCCAAGCCATTCCAAGCCAACTGACTGTCAAAATGGAGTCTGTCAGAGAAGGTGCAGTGTACTAGTGAAGGTTCGTGTCCTTTGTGTGCATGGTTAAAGGTGTGTGTGAAAGTGTAAGTCGTAGGTGACGACGGGAGATGAATTGCTGTGTTGATGGGTGTACTGGGCTGCCCAACGTTCAGACTGATCATGGATGTACTGTCACCACCCGACAGCGGCGAGGTGTGGTTCGAAGCTGCCTGGAACACCAGCCGATCGCGATCAATTGTGCTTCGAGACAGCCTGGTCCCGACGTGAAAGGATCGACTTCTGCATCTGACACATGGCCCAACCTCGGGCAAGTGAAGTCAACGCCCGTGTTGAGTGTACTGGTAGGATGTCAGAGCGGAGCCTCTAACACTAGTGAGTGCATTGGGCATAATACACGTGGTGAAGATTACAAACGTGGTTGATTGAGCTGTGTTGACTGCTTTGATACTGCTTTTCTTTTTTGCAGACTACAAGCGGACTCGTATGCCTAACAAAGCTGCCAGTTGTGATTAATTACTGTTAAATAAATAAATTTCAGTCAACAAGCTTTGTTTGCTTAACTGTAATAGTCCAGCACTGTCACCTCTCTGTTGATTGATACAGTATATATATACGAGACCTCACAGGTGTTCGTCTTTTGATGTATCAAAACATTATGAAAAGAAGTAAATCCCAAGTAGTATCACTGCCCACAGTACCGAACCGGCCACGCTATGATAGTTCTGAAAAGATACTGAAAAAGTCCTGAAGTGTTGTTGTGAGGATGTGCTGATGTTGTTATGTGTATGGACAATGGGACGGGATTAGTGTCCTAGTACAATAAGAGAACATTCTGAGGGCGTCATATTGCCCTCACTGAGGCATACTGAGGATGACCTGAGGTTGTGTTTGTGTTGTCTGGGTAATATATCACACATGGTTAGGTATTGGCAAAGTTAGTTATGATTAAGTATGACTGTAGAAAATCACTTGATTGCACTTACAGCATTAAATTCAAGAAGACAACGAAATAAAGTTACAAAAACATTAAAACAAAATATTCAGTCATTATTACAGTGAAAATAAAACCATTGATGTGTTACAGTCATATTTCAATGCAAAAAGTTCAATTTTAAGTGACTAACTGTAGATTACACAAAAATTGAATATGACATAAAACCTTAGAAAGCAGCACAGACACATTCAGAGACGTGCTTAGTGCTTGTACTAAAATTCAGCCCGAGGAACAGAAAACTGCCTTTGTAGATAAGTTATGTGTCCAGGGGGACACAAAGTAAGACAATAATGCTGTCAGCTGCCCAATCAACTAAGAATACCGATATTTTGGTGCCTACAATAAGCGGGCATGTTTGCATAGAACACTTTGTGGCAGTCTTGTTTCTACCCACTCCCACTTGGAAAAATTCTTCGAGCATGTCTATGCTCTGAGGTATTCCATTCGAAAGTTTATTGTGCTTTTCATGATTACGCATGCAAGGCAGTGAGGATCAGCAAAACATTACTCCCTGGTAGAATGAGCAGTCAGTGCTTGCTACCACCAGCCGGTAGTAAAAAGGTAGCCATTATAATGCCTGTCTATGGCTTCGATCCATGGTCAGATTATATGCAGCACCTCAGAGAGTAGCAGCTGTGTGCTAGTGCTCACTGTCCTGCATGCATAATGATACAAGCCACAACTAAACTTTCCAGCGGAATATCTGAGCACAGGCATGCCAGAATTTTTCGGAAATATGTCGAAATGTGACTGGCTCAAAATTTTAATACGTGCATGGCCACCTGTTGCAGTCACTAATAAGTTCATTATTGAATCTTATTCAAGGGCATGGCTGATAGTGATAATTATTTTGGCACATTGTGTTCCCCTGAACACTTAGCTCTCTGCAAAGGTGGCTTTTACAATCACAACTTACAGCACTGAGCTTTTTAAAGAAAAACAAAAGGCTTAATATTGAACATCCTGAACATGTGAGCTACTTGAATACAGCAACCAGGTGGGTCAGTGAAGTTCCCTTTCCATAGGAAACAGAAGCCATGCGCAGCTGCTGTACGTTCAGTAGCCAACTTTTCCACGAGCTACCATTGATAACAGGCTTGTCCGGAATTCTTTCACACTCAGTTCGTACGAGGTGCATTCATAGGCTGCGATGGAAACACCAAAAAAACCATTTAGTGACATGTGTCTTTTAAAAAAACTGAAGTTATCAGTATGTTTTCGAACAATGTGTCTTAAAACAAGCAGGATGTACGCATATTAGAGATGTTACAAGCAAAACTTTCTTGACGTTCTTGATGAACACAGTTGCAACCTTATGAAAGAAAATGCAATTTCCATATTGAAGATATTTCAAAACCATGCTTTAATTGCACTTGTGCATAGTGCGTTGAAAGCAAATTCAGTGATACCACAACACATACATGATGGTATGCACTTTCATCAAGTATCCATTGCAGGTAACCTACATTATTGAACACGAACTTGATTTCAGATACAACTAATGTAGCTACTTCCAGGCTGCTCACACTAGAATGACTATACTTATAATGTAAGAAATTGGTGTCCTTGAATTCCTATTCAGTGCTGCCTAATTATGGTCATCAGTTTCAATAATTCTGTTTAGCTAAAAAGACAGTACCCTTCACTCAAACATCACAGGCAGTCTAATGAAAGAAAAAAAAAAAGTGGAAATACTAAGACATACGAGGCACCCACCTTGAACCACACACCATCCCAATAAAGCATGCAAGCTTCTGCAACAATCTTCGGGAACCAGAATCTTGAAGCTATTGACCGTGATTTAGCAATAAGATTTGATGAAACTGATTTCCGAATTTTAACAGCAATACGCACATGACTCATGCGTGCTTATCATGATGTATAACATTATCGCGAGTTCTGAGTGACAAATAAAATATTCATTCTGCACATACCACACATTCCGTCAACATCTGTAGCGCATGCCTAGAAAGTTTACTTTATCCAATATACTGTTAAGCTTGGCATTAATCAGACAATTTCATTGGAGGTAATGCTATAAACTATTCTTAATGTTCGTACACGTAAAAGTGTTTAGTAAAGTTTCAACACCAAGGTTGGGCGAGGTGCATAAAATATTTAGTAAACCAAAACAAAATACAAACAGCGGAAACGAGCAGAGTAAAATTGAGTAAAATCAATGGTGCTCGAACGCATGGACTAATGACTGAATAAGTGCTCGCAAGTAAGGTACAGCATTTTGGCCCCATTTAGCCATCAAATATTTGTTCTAAAATACAGTTCAGGATAAACGAATGGCTTAAAATACACGGATTCAGGCCCCATAAGGCAACCTATGTTGCTGGTGTATACCGAAAGTTGGAATTTTATTAAACGAGCTGCATGAACACTTAAGTGTAAGTGCAACCTTTGCGAGCCCTATTTAAAATGATGCAACACGCTGCTCACGAACACGCATACACTCGAGCATCACGGTAGTTTATAAAGGCGCGTGCCGGCGCGGATGCACACACCGGCATACAATCGGCCACCCGCAAGGAAAAAACTTCTCTGATAGTAGTGATAACGTATAACAATACTGTAGCTGTTTAAAATGGAACGTACAGCAGATGAAACTGCCTTAGACACATTCACTTCAATAGCGCACAATATGAACAGGCATCAACGCCTATAGTGCATCAACGCACAGGCATCAACGCCTGTGCATTGATGCTCAGGCATCAACGCCTATAGCCATCGTGGGATTCCGCATCGAAAGGGACACTGTCAAGTCCACCAACTATAAAAGAGCAGCGACCATCGCGACCGCTTTGTGGGCTCGGTGGCTGCGCCACAACGCTGTCTTCTAACACGCTGGTTTTCGCCGTGCAGGTTAGTGCAAAATACAGCCTATTTAATAATAAATCTAGTGATTACTGTTTGGTGTAGCTCCCGAGCCCCCAGTGCTGCCGTGCTCTGCTTGGTGAATGTATACATGTCATCCAGTCTTTTCTGTTGCTATCAGGAGATATGGAAACCAATCTAGGGCCTAGTATGAGCTATGTTCTCGCCGAGTTGCAGAAGCTGACAGCTGGGCAAAGCAAACTAATCACTGAGGTGCAAAGCCTAAAGAATCAAGTTATGAGTACCGATAAAACACTGACGGATCTAGGTAAGTGAATGACGGAACTTGGGCAACACTACCAGGCACTCATGCCCTTACGCAACGAATTAGAAGCAGTGCATGCTGCTACTGGTGTAACTGGTCGCCTGGTGTCTATTCTCGAGAGCCGCATAGACGACGCTGACAACCGGTCTCGTAGAAATAACTTAATATTGTATGGCATTCCTGATTCCAACCCTTCTGAAACATTTACGCAGTCCAAAAATTATTCATTGATAAGATTCGTGAGCACATGCACATAAGCCTTGATGATAAGGAAACAGAGCTTGCACACCGGCTGGGACGGTACTCACCTGGCCGTAACCACCCCATCATAGTTAAATTTGCGCTCTACAAAACTAAAGAATTAGTCCTGGTTGGCGGTCGTAAGTTAAAGGGGAGTAATTGTGCAATTGGCGAAGATTTTTCACCAGCCGTTCGGAATGCCTGCAAACATCTTACTGCTTTCGGCAAAAGAATAGGAACGCCCTTCAAACTACGTTTCAAGACACTTGTTATAGGATCGAAACGTTATGAATATGATGAATCATCCAATATTGTTAAAGAGAGTCACTAGCAATCAAAGCGCAACAGAGGTTCATGAAACCCTCGCCCCATTGCCACAGTGAATAATCTTTCTTTATCTGTTATTTTCACTAACGCCTGCAGTTTCCTTCCAAAGCGTGAAGATATATCAAGTCTTGTTTCTTCATCTAGCAGTAATTTACTCATCATAACAGAAACGTGGCTCACGGGCGACATCACTGACGATGAGGTATTATCAGACTTGCCAAACGTCAAAGTTCATCGTCATGACCGCCTAAGAACACGAGGTGGGGGAGTTTTTATAGCATTCAGCAAGCAATTACCTTGCACAACAATTGCGCCTCCTGCTGGCCTCGAGATAGCCTGGCTACTTCTCCGCTCATTTCCACAGGCTGTCCTGCTGGGAGTCTTGTATCTACCCCCTGTTAACAGCCCCGATTTTCCTAGCAAGTTAAACAGCGTTTTGTGCCAGGTTACAGCTGCGCATCCTAATGCTCATATTCTTTTATTCGGCGACTTTAACTTCCCCTGTATCAACTGGCGTAACCTATCTTCTGGAGCGTCAACTAACGCTGAGGCTAGAGACTTCATCGACGTCTGTTTAAACTTTGATCTTTCACAGCTTGTTTCCGAACCAACACGTGTTTCGCATGACTGCCCGAACGTCTTAGACCTTATACTAACTAATCAACCAGGCAGCTTATAATCTTTAACCTTTCTTCCTCCTTACCAGTGACCACAAAGTTCTTCCGCATTTTCCGCACCACCACGTGCAATTTCCGCACCACCGATTTTCCGCACCACCACGTGCAAAATGTAGCAAAACAATCAGCCTATACGATAGAGGAAACTTCAGAGCCATTAATGACGAATTAGCTGCCTTTATACCTAACTTTGAGTCTCGATTTCACGAGCAATCTATTGATGATAACTGGGTGCTCTTTCAAAGTAAAATGATTCAATTAGCAGAGGAACATATACTGAAAATTACCTTCCGTGAGAATCGGCAGATGCCGTGGTTCACAAATCACTTGAAGCGTTTAGAAAATAAGAAGAAAAAACTTTTCCGAGCTGCTAAACAGGGTACGAATGCTAACACTTGGGAAAAATATTATTCTGCTGAAAAAATGTATCTATCTGCTGTTCGTGGTGCCAAGCATGCTTTTTTTAACAATGACTTGCCCAAAATACTTAGAGAAAACACAAAGAAATTCTGGCAAGTAATAAACCCAAGTCATGTTAGCGCCTTAACACTTGCTGATGATTCGGGGAATATTATGTCTGATACCGACTGCGCCACAGCTTTCAACAATGCCTTTGTCTCAGTTTTTACTAAGGATACTAGTGCTCCTCTACCTTTACTGTCTAGCTATATAGTATCCAGTATGCCGGCCATTACGTTCAGCGTAGATGGTATTTCAAATGTGATTGATAACCTAAAACTTTCATCCTGTGCCGGTATCGATGGTATTAACTCAAAACTGTTAAGAAACACTAAAGATATATCCTCGTCATTTTTGTGTCTGTTGTTTGCTCAGTCGCTTTCGGTAGGTTGCATTCCTCACGACTGGAAAGTGGGAAAAGTCATTCCCATCTATAAAGCAGGTAATAGGCTTCACCCGCTAAATTATCGCCCCATCTCCCCCCCCCCCCCCCCCCCCCCCCCGAGTCTGCCAAGTAAAATCATAGAGCACGTCATTTACTCACTCATTATGGACCATTTGGATGCCATTCATTTTTTCATCCTGCACAACATGGATTCTGCAAGAGCCTTTCTTGCGAAACGCAGCTAGCTCTTTTCATTCACGACCTTTATACCAATCTTTACAGTAACAGACAAACTGACGCTATCTTCCGCGACTATGAAAAAGCTTTTGACAAGGTTTCTCACCGACACTTGTCACGTAAACTTTCCTTCTTAAACTTAAACTCCGACGTACTAAAATGATTTGAAGCGTTCTTGGTCAACCGTTCGCAATTCGTCAGCGTCAGTGATCAGTCCTCCGTCCCACTTCCGGTTACCTCAGGTGTCCCCCAGGGGTCTGTTCTTGGCCCACTTCTTTTTCTGGTATATATCAATGACTTACCCTTCATGTAACTCGTAAAATATGTATGTTCGCAGACGACTGCGTGATTTATCATACCATTAACAATATTACTGACCCAGATATATTACAGCAAAATCTTAACTACGTGCAGTTTTGGTGTACCCGGTGGCTAATGACTCTCAATCCAAAAAAATGCAAACATATATCATTTACCTGTAGTCCAAGCCCCATTACTTCTCCTTACATGATAGCCAATAGTCTCATTGACACAGTCTTATCATTCAAGTACGTAGGAGTCGTCCTAATTTCATTTCATCTTAACTGGGGCACACATATAAATAGCATTCTGTTATCGGCGAACCAATCACTCGGCTTCTTGAGGCGCCACTTACGTCACGCCCCACGCAACATAAGATTACTAGCGTACATAACCCTAATCAGGCCTAAAGTTGAATATGTTTCACGAATCTGGGACCCATATCAAAAATACCTCATCAACGCACTTGAGTCTCTTCAAAATCGTGCAACAAGATTCATTCATTCATCCTACTCATATGACGTAAGCATATCCGCCCTGAAAGAAAAATCTAAACTACAATCCCTCTTACACCGTCGTACGATATCCAGCTTTGGTCTTTTCTATAAGTTTCTTTACAGTTTACTTAACCGCATGTCGTACATCACCCCACCATCAAGAATATCGCAACGCACTTGGTCACCCGCTACAGGTTTCAAAACAGCGCACACACACTACTACCTTCTCTACTTCATTTTTTTCTCGTACAGCGTCAGAGTGGAATGCCCTTCTGCACCATAATGTATCTACAAATAACCGTCACATGTTCTATGCTGCTGTGTCTTCTGTTATACCAAATTAGTTGCCATTGATTGTACTTAACGCAAGTCTTTATTTCTACAGTGTTCGTTGTTTGTTATTGTTGTACTTATTGTACAGTGTTATCTTTGTGCAAGATTTTCAATGATTATTACGTTATATTGCCAGATCATCTTGTTTCTTGTAATGTTACCAAATTAATTACTTAGCAGCGTGTTCTCGTTTTCACAGTGTATCAATATTTCTTTCTTTTACTTTCTCCTCTTTTTCCAAAGTTCTATTGGTTTTTATTTTTATTTGGATTTACCCATTACATGTTGTCCCCACCCCTTATGTAACACCCCTATAAACAGGGCCTTTAAGGAAATAAACTGAACTGAGCTAAAAAATGGCCCAAATTTAATAGACAAAAATAGTGGTCCCTCGCGAGCAAGGCCCCCCTCCAACACCACTGCCAACACAGGAGGACAGCCACCACAACTCTGCTTGAATCTGCTGCCAAATTCCCGCGACGCGTGCATGCTTCACAATCCACACGAAAGAAAAAACTTGTCCGCGCTTAACTTCGTACAACTTTGCTTTTAGACTGCTTAAATACTACAAAAAAGCTGGGTCCCAACGTAAACAAAAGCGCACTTATCGTGCACATGATAGGAAAAACGTGGTGAATGCAGTGGTAACAAAGCGCCGACAGCAGCAGTGTGGTACATACCTGGCGAGTGCTCCACGATGCGAAGCCACACGTCTTCACTTGAGTATAGTGCATCTTCGTAATCAGCAGCACTTGCAGAACACAAAACCCGAACACAAAGCACAAGCACACTTTTAAAACATGAGAGAAATCGACTCAATCCGCTCCTTCATGAGGCGACTGAGCGGCGGGTAAATGCGTCGAGACAAGTAAAACTTTTCTAGTCGTGCAGGCGCACACCGCATTTGCGCATCTCAATTTATTAGTGCTGTTCAGAAAGCTCAATTATTACATTTAAATATGTAAATATATATACTACAAAAATACAAAAAGCGAATAGTCTTTTGATTTATAAAAAAGAAAGAAATGTAGAAAACACCCTGCATATATTGCATGTGCAATTGAGACTTCCGCGAATCAATCAAAGAACTTTATTTTCACCAAAAACAAAAAACATTTACGATGAAAAAAGGTGGCCGGGAAAAAAGCTGTCCAATGACAGCTTGACAAAGCCCCAGCCACCCATCGGTGGCGAAACGACAGGGTACAGCACCTGATAAATGTGGGAGAAAAATGCATAATAATAGTCGCTAAACAGTTTCAAATTGATATCATAGTGCATTCACTACAGGCGCAGGTGCACTACAAGGTCAAATGTACCTAATTATATACTTGCTAAAGATAAGTATTCTGCCAAAGTTCTAGAAAATAACTTTTAGTAAACGTTTTGAAAAAGACTTCTTGTCAAGAACTTTTCTCGAAGTCTTCTAAAAACTTCCTGTGAAAAACGTTTATTCAACGTCACATAATATATTTAGATGTCCGTATATCTTTCTAGTTATTTAGAGAAGTTTATATGACGTTTCGTGTTTCTTGGGTTGGCATTGCAATCTAGAAAATACCGTACGCCCAACAACAATAACGCGCACTTCATACTGAGAAACTTTATGGCGCACACACTCGGATGAAGCTGCGGCGCGATGGACGGCTGGGCTAGGTCCAACCTCAGGTTCAACTGGGCATCCAGCAATCATATGAAGCAGCGACGACACAGGGTCTCCGGTCCTCCTTGGGCACTGCCTAGGCCCAGACCACAATTTTGCCGAGTTTTCACCACCAACACACATTACAGGCAACTACCATCTCGCACTGTTTACCTTTCGCAGCCGCAGCGCCCATGGCACCCCTTGCACTTGTAATATCTGTTCAATTAACAAATACAGGCTGATTGACTCGTCAAACACCTGTTTAGTAAAATTTTTGTAGGTTTAACACGTTATACATTAATAATTTATACGTTTAAATCGCTTTAGGTAATAATTTTTCAGATGACGTCCCTTCTGTGCGACGCAGGAGCCAATTCTGTGTGGGGCTGGCTGCTGCGCTGCATGGCGCAAAAGATGCTGCCTTTCATTTTTCTTTTCTTTTTTTCTTTTTTTCCTTTTCTTTTCATTTTTTACGTTTTTTTAGCTTTTGACATGTGTTTGTTTCGGGTTGTTTGCCATCGATGATGGAAGTGATTATTTTGGTATATCACGTTGTTGATGATGACAGGGAGAGATTGGGAATGACGTACATACGTGTTATGTATTTATTATAGTTTGTTTCGAAATAAAATTTTCAGTTGCTAGTAAGTGATTGTCTGTGTCCTCTTTTTTTAGCACTTGTTTCATCATGAACCTTTACCAACACGCCCAACTGGCTGTCATCCTAAATCCAGCGTTTTGAAACAAAAAACGCCACATCATATTCTCGGAGAGTTCAGCATTTATTACAAGTTCACATTGAGTAAATGCTCGTGACAACAAAAATTTAAATGATAAGCTGTTATTGAAAGACAAGATGACATGAAAAAAGAGCCCTAAAAACGGATGAGGACGAACACAGCACAGTCCTGATCCGTTTTTCCAGCAGCTAGCCCAAGTTATGCGCACAGAAAAGAAGGAACCTTATTTGAACTTTGCTATCTTATGACGAAACATTATTATACATCCACTTAACTTGTATAATCACACTAGTAAATTGATTTACATCATTATGAACAAACTATGACCTCGCAAGATGCTGAAATAAAACATTGGTCACCAAACTCGTGACAAGTATTACCACAAGAAAATGATATCTGACAACGAAACTCTCCCGAAAGCTACATGTACAGTGGCCTGAATTGCCTGAGCAGCCCACTCAAGGTGAATTGTGGGTTAAATAAAACAATGCAAATCGTGCAATTTCGGCTAAAATAACAGCATGAATTGTCCACACGCACAGGGAGTCTTGCTTGCGCCATCATTCATAGTGTGCCCGCAAGCTGACACTTGTCATATCTAATCAAGCAGTGGAGTAAACCAAAAGCACCCGAACTTTTCAAAGCTGAGATGGCTGCTAAGAGCCGGCATAACTAATTAGCGCTAAAAAGAACAGACTGGACACGACTTGAAGTACAATAATTCACAAATTGTGCAAGAAGCTGTGCAAGATGAAGAAAAAACAAGTCTCTAAAGACGCCCCCTAAAGCCACTTCAACTTTTTGCATTGCCTAAACAACCTCCTTATACCGCATCTGACTAAATGGTTCTGTGCATAAACTTTCTTGAATGTATGCACTTTCTTTTTGGCGAGAGCCAGCAACGCATTTAAGCACCCATATGCTGTAATATTGTTTAAAAGCACAGGAAAGGGTTAACTGGCGGAACATGAGAGAGGCCTTTGCCTCGCAGTGGGCGTAGTCAGGTTGATAACGATGATAATGAACCGTTTTTTAATGTGAAGTTCTTGAACGTTTTCCGGGTCTTATAGGAAGCCGAAGCAACGCAAGGTGGCGCTGCGACTCTGGACAGGCAATGCCATCTCTGGTAGAAAAGTACAAGTCGCGGATGTATATTGCGTGTCTTCCCTTCCCGCCAATACGCTGTTGCTCGCTTATGTGCTCGCACAGAGAGCGCGCAGTGAGTTCGAGTCACCTCTTAATGTACAGCCTGCAGTGGGGCTTCATAAAGATTTCAGAGCTGACAAGCACTTTTGAGAAGTGACTCTAACAAAAGGAGCAAAGCTCGTTAGTCAAGTTTATGATGTGGAGCAGACGACGGAAGACGAAGACACCAAAGTCACTGCGAAATGCATTTCTCAGGTTCGTGACAATACTGTGTACGACGTATGCCTCTTGCCCCGCCGCGGTGGTCTAGTGGCTAAGGTACTCGGCTGCTGACCCGCAGGTCGTGGGATCGAATCCCGGCTGCGGCGGCTGCATTTTCGATGGAGTCGAAAATGCTGTAGGCCCATGAGCTCAGATTTGGGCGCACGTTAAAGAACCCCAGATGGTTGAAGTTTCCTGAGCCTTCCTCTACGGTGCCTCTCATAATCATATGGTAGTTTTGGGACATCAAACCCCATATATCAATCTTCGTATGCCTCGAAGTAAGTGACATTCTGCCGACATGAAGCCGCCTACTCTATCGATGTGCTGCGTTGACTTTATTGAAAAACCATACAATTGTTGTTTTGATGTGGTATCTAGCAGTAGCAGCTGGGTAATGTCACGTGCAAACGTTTGCGGCGTGCTACAAAAATAAAAACTAAAGTTATACGGTCATGGCATTGAAATGTCCGAGAAGTTTTAGAGCCATGTCCTTCATGCCGCGGGAGCATGACTCACTGACCTCTCCACGAAGCAGCAAGCTGAGCTTTAACCACAGCGAGTGAAGTTGAAGCATTCGCCTCGTTTTTTTTTTTCCGGCTCTGGTGTCAGGCTTGTTCTATCTTTCATGAATGCGACTGTGTTCGCTGGCTGTGCCTTGGTGGAAAACTGATATAGCTTTACACATGGAGAACGTCCCTTGGTGTTGTCTGCATTATTGTGGCAGCCCACACCAATACTTCGAATTTCGCTGACGCTTCTGTGGGATCGCTTCTTCCATTGCTGAAAGCGCGCAGCGAGCGTCTCGTTTAAGTGCCAAGCTGACGAGACGGCATTGAAGTTCAACGGATCAACTTCTGCGTGTGTTGCACGTACTCCCATTTAGGCAAAACACACAAACTCGCCTGCGCCCTCTTTCATGCCTATCCTCAAGTTTTCCGGAGCTCACTGCCAGAGCCAGGCGCGGCATTGTCGTCGCTCCACAAACTTGAGCTTTGGTTTCCTATAGTCTCAATGTGGCGAACGTTTACAGAGTGCATGCGCTCTTGAAAAGCACATGCCACAAAGAAAACAAAGCAGAACAAGGACATAGCCAAATGTAAAAAGAAGAACGTACAGAAAATGCAGTGAAACCAATTAAAATAAACTGGCCCCATGATAAAGGACCACGGAGGGGCTAATCGCTTGCAAACACGGAAAGTAGTCAGATGAAGCCAAGTGAAGGAGGAAGAGGAGATGTTGAGGAGATGAAAAGACGTTACTTCTTCAACTCTCAATGACAGCAGGCACTGAGCGTCTGCAGTGGAATGATCGAGAGGGAAGTAAAGATGGAAAGAGGAGAGGAAAAGAAGAGTGTGGCATCCATGATAGATGATGCAGCTGGTGGTTTCTACAGACCAGTGTCTATAAAAGACGTGAAGAAATGCCTTGAAGACCTGGGTGGGGTGGTGGGCAAGGGAGAGGAGCTCCTTCTATGCAGCCGTGGATAGGTGAACAACACATGGGCGGCGGCTGGGCTCGTGCCAGATAGCTATAATGACTGGAGGCCTTCAGTGGACTGTCCGGTGGAAGCAGTTCATCGACACGTCAGCGATGGCGTATCGCGGATCACATTGCAGTGTCGCCACGGGCTCAGCAGACTGCCTCACAGCAACAGGGGATGCTTTGGAAACACGATTGGGATGGTTGACAAGTGATGGTACAGGACGTAGTGCATTAAAGGCAACCAGGGCATGCTGATGGCTTTGCTGGCAGCAGGAGGGCCTGAAAAGTGGGGTGGTTCTCCTCCTGGTTAGTGGTGAAAATGGGGTGAAGCACATTTGGCAAGCACTCTCAAATTATGACAGGTAGATTGCCACTATCCCTCAAGAGGAAAGTATATAACAGCTGTATCTTGCCGGTACTCGGCTACGGAGCAGAAACCTGGAGACTTGCAAAGAGGGTTCAGCTTAAATTGAGGACGACGCCGCGAGCAATGGAAAGAAAAATGGTAGGTGTAACCTTAAAAGACAAGAAGACAGCAGAGTGGATTAGGGAACAAACGGGGGTTAAGGATATCATAGTTGAAATCAAGAAGAGGAAATGGACATGAACCAGGCATTTAGCACGTAGGCAGGATAACGGCTGGTCATTAAGTGTAACTGACTGGATTGCTAGAGAAGGCAAGAAGGTTAGGGGGAGACAGAAGGTTAGGTGGGCAGATAAGATTAAGAAGTTTGCTGATGTAAATTGGCAGCAGCAAGCACAGGACCGGGTCAACTGGTGGAACATGGCAGAGGCCTTTGTCCTGCAGTGGACATAGTCAGGCTGATGATGATGATGATGATGATGTAGCGACCGCACCTTACACATAGAGCTTGGGCGCTGCAGCCCCAGAGTCTGGTGAGGGATGGCTCCCATTACAGACGACCGCACTGCAGGCGTTGCAATGGGCACGGCCTGATATGGTGCACCCATAATTACAGCTTGAAGAGGCTCACATGCTCTAATGGGAGAGGGCCGTCAAACCGTAGCGTCACTGAGTTCACCGCCCCAATGGCAGATGCCACTTGACTCAGTAGAATGAAGCTGCTCGTCCCCTGTAGGATCGAGCCGTGCATGTGTCCCTGTGTAGAATTTGGTCAACGGGAACTTGGCCGATTGCTACAGTGCCCCGTGGGTGTGGCTCTCACCAATAAAAAAATGCGCATACCTTAATCTGCGCAGGGAACCATTTCGTTATACAAAGGCACGAGTACACGGCATGCGCAAGAAGATTAGCGGTGATAGGGGGGTGTTTCGAGAGTGATGTTTTCCGGGTTGCCCCTCATCTTGCCATTCTACGAATAAATGCTTAGTTGAAGTATGGTGCGGTGTTCTCCCTGATTTCTTCACCTTGCCTGCTGTGCTATTTAGTTATGACTGATGTGCAGCTACGTGAGCAAAAAGGCCCGCATTGTTATTCTGATCGCAATCATATCATTCAAATACTGCTGCCAGCTCATTCTGAAGAGAAGCGGAAAGTGTGCAAAAGACACAAGCATCATAATAAGTTGTCTCATTTACTAAAATTATTTTGTTTCATGTTATGCAAGGCTTAGTCAGTTAAACAGCCAATGCAAGTATTTACATTTACATAGTTGGAACAAATTACAGTTTGCAACATGAGGGTCAAGTGGCTGGGATAATTACACTTAAGTATGTGCATTAGTTTAGTATGCACTAAAATTGATCATAAAATTAATGACATCAACAAGATTCCCTTGAAAGAGCTATATTAAAAAGAGGCAAAAGAACACATACTGCTATCCTTGTGTGCTTGCACTGATTTCGCGTTCACATAATTTGCACGCGACACACCAATGAGAAAATTCAATAGAACACGGAAAACAGCGGTTGTGCAAGAATGTCATTCTTGAAGGAAAGCAGCTTCTTTGTCGTGTTCTAGAAAGTGGGCACTCACAGACCCGCCAGGACAACAAAAGACGATACTGCCTCTTGCACTAACTGAACCATAACACTAAAAGTGTTGTGACTAGGCTACCCGATGCAAGAGAGGAGCACAAATATTCAGCCATACTGTACGCCTCATTTGCACACTGGTTAGAGGGAATGTGCAAGTAAGCTGCTTACATGCTACGCTTGAACTCAGAAGTGAGCAAATGTACACTCCTTGGCTATTGTGGAGATGTGAAAAAAATAATGTTCGTTGTTTGGATCGCGTCCCTCGTCGACAGTGTACTAGACAAAGTATACGGTGCGGTACAGCCTCAGCGACGAAGCAAGCAAAGTGCGGCAGTGTGATCACTACCCAGTTCACCTTACCGTTACGTGCACTGCTCTCAGTGCAAACTAATGCAGGGGCTGCCCCCACCTTGCATAGGTTCGTGCACGGCCACTGACAACGTGCAATCGGTGTGCTGCCCTAACCTAAGCGCACTGCAGCAGCAGCTAAATGTTGGTCACATGAGGCGGCCCATCCGCACTGGAAGACATTGCTTTAGCCGCTGGTGGTCGAACAGCGCGCACAAGCGGCGGCCAGCCCTGACCAAATCGCATGTCACGAGGAAGTGTTCACAGGTTGAAGAAGCCGAACTTGCTCGCCATGCCACCCACGTTGCGCTTGAGCGACGACAGGTGCTCAGTGACGGACTGCGTGACGTTCTGGATGCTGCGAACATAACCTTCGGCGCCATCGCCTGCGAGCGAGGCCACGATTTTGCGTCGCGGTGAGGCCTCGCTTTCAGTCCCCGTTTCTGGGTAGTCCCTGCGCAGAGAACATTGTGCTTACAAGACGTACTTGCAAAAGAGGCATCTGCCACAATGGCTGAATGACCTCCCCAAGAAGATAATGAGCCGGACAAGATTCTGCATATTCTAATATAATACTTCAGGCTCATGTCAACACCAATACTCATAGATGCCAGCGAAACTAGATGTTGCTTCACTACCTATTGCGCATCGGTGGTATGGTGCTCTCACCAAATTATCTAAAAAACAACTAGAAAAAAGAGGAACGCGGTGCGATTTCTACGCTCCTGGAATTGAAAAACAGATTAAGTTATAAAAATGCTCCGTTCTTCTGCCCTGCATCTCTCAACGACGTGCGGGCAGAAAAAAAAAACATCCGATACTATTACTTGAAAATACTGAATGGTGCACTAAATATCAGCAAAAAAGTAAGCAAAGCTCGTAACAGGTCAATCCATCGCCCACATGATCAGATAGTCTTTCTTTCCTGGCATATTTAAAATGTGGAATGAATTGCCAATATGTGTCGTGTACCAAAACGAATTGTCAGAAGTTAAAGACCTTGGATGACCCGATCTTGATGTAACTTGTATTAGTGCATCTGTGAATGATGTTCTTTTCTGTGCTTTATTTAGTTACCCTCTATAATGAATCTCGCAAGAAAGTTGACAGTATTGTGAAAGAAATAAACAAAAAACTAAATAAACATATATATCGTTACTTTCCCGAAATTCAACAATGCCTTAGTTTCAGTGCTTGGCTTGGCCTACAGTCCAACTACAGGTGGTTCTCTCCCACGTGCATTTTATGCGAGGATAAACATAGAATAAGTGTGAAGTACGCATAAGGTACACTAAGATAAAGTAAAATATTTCATCTCGTTTGTTTCAGCTGAAGCCATCGGGCCCTGAGCGCGGATTTTGAAACAGCAACCTCCGAAACGATGAAAAACATTGTGCATATGTAACGCATACGAAGATGCCCGCGTGGCCATGGCAGGTATTGTCAATTTCTTCTGTTAATCGATCGTTGACATAATCTGGATCTTTGGAACATGTGCATTTCAGTAATGCAAGGACCTCACATGATATCCCACATGAGCAGGCTGATCTTTTTTTGTCAAGGGTTATTATTCTTAAAAAGCCTGAAAAATAGCTTGACCGGCAGCGCAGCACATTAATTTCACAGCCTTTGCAAAAAGAAAGCTTTACCTTTGTACTTTGTCCTATGCCTTTCTACTATTATGAAACGAAACGACAAGGTATAGTCAAAGGTTCGACGAAAGCTCATCAGATCAGGCATTCAATGGGATAAAACAGGGTCACTGACCAAGTCTTATGAAGATTTGACGTTTCAAAACAGCATACAAGTTCTTTGTTCACTGAGCTTGACCAGAAGTCTTCGTCAATTATAAATCCAGTAGGAGATGCAAATAGCGTGCGTATATAGCAGACATAGCCCTTGCTGTCACTATTCATTGTAGCTGGCGTTGAATGGATGATTGGAGATTCTAGGAGCCGACGGGATCACATGGTCTTTCCTTCGCGATAACAGTGGCATTGTACCAGTCAATGACGTGATTATGTTCATGCACATGCTCAGCAATGTCATTTGTCGCGTAATTGTTACTAGTGACGTCGCGTTTGTGTTCCTTGAGGCTTCGGGAGAACTTTCCTGTTTTCTTAATGTACACTTGATGGCAATCAGCGCACAATATCTTGTACACGACTCTGGGAATGACTTACTCGGCTGCCTATCTTTCACATTAACAACCTAATTTCGGAGCTTGTTGGTAGGCACATGTGCAATAGGCAAACCATAGCTTGAAAATACACGTGAATGCGCTTCAGTCATTGCTTCGACGTAAGGTGCTAGTTCTCAAGTTGTCGCGTTGGCCTGTGAGCTTGGCTGTAATACCCTTTTTAGTTTTAGCAATGAAATGATCAGGATAGCCGTTGTGGCTTAGTTACTGACAAACCGTTCGTAATTATTGCTTTAAAGCATCATTATCTTAACAGACTCATACAGCCTATGTTGTCAAGGATTACACGATGGATGTCGTGTGGCCGATAGGATGATCCCAATTTAAACTGAGTGCATAGGCTTCCAATACACAAAGAAGGCGAGGGCGTTTCCATCTCGGCGAACCTCAACGTCTAAATAAGGCAGCACGTTTTCCTTCTCATATTCAACAGTAAACTGTAGCTTTTATTCTGGACATTCAGGCAGTCCAAAAAACGTTGAATGTCTTGCTTTTTCAGAATGAAAAAGCAGTCATCAATGTACCCGTAGAACACTTTAGGCCCCGTAGAGAACGTTTTCAGGACCTTTTCTTTCAAGGCTTCATTACAAAACTAGCCGTGGTGACAGATATCGATGCTCTCATCACCGTACTGTGGACTTGCTGATAAATGATGCCACCGTTTATGTGTTGCTGAAGCAAAACCGCAGCAGCTCGACCAGTTGGGGAGCGACAAAGGGGGTGCAATCAGGAAGACCACTGTCTTCTTTTAGGGCTTCTTCGCACGTGGTTACGGTCAAGTCCACTGGAACACTTGTAAAAAGTGATGCGACGTCGAATGAGACCATAGCGTCGTCCTTACTCAGTGTAACGTCCTTTACCTTTGAAACGAATGCGGAATTATCGACGTGCGTCGAAGTCTTGCCAGCTAGAAGACTCAACACTTCGTGAAGGTGGCCTGATAGTTGGTAGAGCGAAAATCTGGTGAAGTCGAAGTGGGATGCCAGGCTTGTGAACTGTAGGCAAGCCATACATTGCTCATCACCATACATTGCTCACGCTCATAGGTAGCACAGAAGGAAGCAATTCGAAGCCTGCAGTAATAGAAGCATAGACAATGTACCCTCCAACAAAGGAAATGCTACCGTCTTGTTAGAGAAGAAAGACTACCATGAGAAAGCAGGTATTGCAGCCAAACTCAAAGGGCAACATGACAACCTGTGCACGTATGGCCATAGCTTACATCGAAAGAATGAGTGAGACGCTTTCACATGTATTTTCAAGATATGATTTGGGCATTGCACTAGTGCCAACCAAGAAGGTCAGAAACTAGCTTGTTAATATGAAAGATAGGCGGCCAAGTGAGCCATTCCCAGAAGTCATGTACAAGATACCGTGCACTGATTGCCGTCAAGTGTACATTGGCGAAACAAAAAAGTTCTCCCGGCACCTCAAGAAACATAAATGCGACGTCACTAATAACGGTTACACAACAAATGTCAATGCTGAGCATGCCTATGAACACAATCAAACCATTCAACTGGGAAAATCCTGCTGTCATCGCTAGGAAAATAACATGTCATCCCGCCGGCTCCTAGAATCTCTATCAAGTCAGTGTCAGCTCTATCCAGTCAATGTCAGCTACAATGAATAGAACAACAGGGACTATGCATGCTATCTACGTACGCTCGTAGCGTCATCTACTGGCTTCATAATTGACGACGGACGGGCGGACAGACATACAGACAGACAGACAGACAGACTAGATAGATAGATAGATAGATAGATAGTTTGGTTGGCATCTGTATAACGTATTGCTATAACCATATATTCAATTCAGCTTTATTTCAGGTATACCCTGAGGAGACAGAGGCTAAAGGCTTTGATCGCCTGACGGTGGCCTCTGCCCCCCCCCCCCCCCCGGAGTTCGGAGCAGGTACACAATACATAAAGCAAACAGTAACACCAAAAATCACACATATACAGAAATAAATTATGTACTAGAAGAAGCGGGAATGAAACGCTACGACAGTAGTGATTGTACAGTGTTACATAAATACAATGCTACAAAGCCATAATGTTTACAGAAAAATTACAGAAGCGTAGAACACATATGAATTTACTGAAAGCAAATAGAGAGCAACTAAAAATAGTATATAAGCAGTTAATCACCGACTTCAGTGGTAATGAGATGTGTCTTGAATTTATGTTTCATTTTTTTTTTTTTGTGGAATCAGTCCAGCAGACAATGCCTTTGTATTTGTTCAGGAAATGTGCAATTTGGTAATGTAATGTCTGCCTTCCGTAATTCGTCCTCACTTTAGGCAATCGACGCTGAATATTCCTGAACTTATATCTGTCTGTTTCAGTATAACTGTTTTCTTTAAAGACATTATTATTGTGTATATACTTCATTAATTTAAAGAAGTATATCTGATTGGGCTTTAATATGCTGTGCTTTATAAACAGTTCTCGTGTGTGTAAGTCGCGTATGTCTCCCATATAAGTTTTCAAATATACACAGCACCCTTTTTTGTAAAACTAACAACCTATTGTAATTAGTGTCCGTAGTTGTTCCCCAAACTAGAGTGCAGTATGTCAATTTTTAATGCACTAATGAATAGTAAATGTTGTCTTTTTAATTACAGTGGTAATAAAGAACTAATTCTCCGAATGCAACCAATGGTTTTGGCTATGTCTGCTGTCAAGTGTGAAATGTGTGTATCCCATGTCATGTTTTCGTGGCGCCAGACTCCAAAAAATTTCTGTTCCTTCGTTTGTGTAATTTGTGTGGATCCATATTTAATTATTATGTCACCTACATTCCGCTTATTTGGTGGTGCAAATAATATGTACTGTGTCTTAATCGCATTTAACTGTAACTTATTATGATGAAGCCATATGGTTAACTCTCCTAGATAGGAGTTTGTCATTGTTTCTAACAGGTTCATTTCTTTTGCGGTAAAATATACGTTGGTGTCATCTGCATACATTACGATGTCTTGTTTAATACCTATGCCCGCTATGTCATTGATATACAGCAGGAATAAAGTTGGCCCAAGTATTCAGCCTTGTGGTACTCCAGTTGTGACATTTGACCGACTGGATGAAAAGTTATTTATTGCTGTAAATTGGCACCGATGACGTAAATAATCTGTCATGAGTTCTAGTGGAATGCCCCTTATCCTATAGTGTTGAAGCTTCAACAACAGCACTTCGAGGTGGACAGAATCGAAGGCCTTTTGTAAGTCTAAAAATAATCCTTGGGTGTAATA